CAGTTGTCCAACCTCCGCTAAATTTGAAGCGGTGCATTTTCGTGCCCGTTGAACTCCTATTGAAAATAAACGAAAGTCTAAAATTCACAAAAGAGTCTGGCAAGTTTTCAAAGGAGTAATCGCTAGTGGCCTCTAGGCCGTATACACAATAGGGTGGTCCAAAAACGGTAAAGTCGGAATTGTAATGCTCTCACCCCCTAGGATTGTTCTATATCTACAAAAATCATGCCCCTATTTGTTTATTTTAAACTCAAAAAATATTTAGAGGTCGCTCAAAGCGCTCAAAGTTGTCCATGTATTTTTATATGGGGAAAACAACTTTTCGTTGAAATGGTATAGAATTCTTGAAAATCGATATTTTTCGATCTGAAAACTATGGTTCTCTTTAGGAGATTAATAATACCCAATTATTTATTTAACCATTAATCCTGACGATTTTTATTTGTCCACCCCCATTGCATTGTTCGCGGTTTTTGTGGGTTTTTGGCGGATTTATAAATTATAGTCGCAATGAAAAAATGGTTAAACAATTGGGTATTATTATTAGGAATATTTTTCACATTAAAAAAGTTTTGCGATAGAAAAGCATTAATTTTAAAAATACATGGAAAACTTTGGGCGCTTTGAGTAGCCTCTAAATACTATTTGATTTCAACATAAAAAAGGGGTACATTTTTTCGGTATAGAACAATCCTAGGGAGTGAGAGCATAAAAACTCCGACTTTACTTTTTCACGTGCATTTTTGGACCACCCTAATATACAAGTGACAGCTTGGAAATTGTGGCTGCTGTGGCTGAGTGGTTAAAGGTACGCACTACCACTCCCTAGGACCTGGGTTCGATGGCTGCACCGAACAATATCTGAATTGGAAGAAGTTTTTCTAATGACGCACAGTATTCTAGTTAATTTTGAAAAAAATTAGACAAGATCAGATATCTCCAGAACAAGAGAAAATAGAAAAATAGGTGTAATGGTGTTTTAACAGTCTCGTCGGATACAAAAATAGCTTGAATTACCTTCAAATATGGAAGGTTTTAAATATTTGCTATTTTTGGTCAGAAAAAGTTTTTAGAAGTCTTTATGTCCTTCAAAACTATTTTTTTATTTTATATTTTTTTTTTATTTGTACGTATGCAAGGCAATTGACGTTTTGGAAGTTAGCCAACTTCATCCATCTCAAAAAATTTTAAATTCCCTTACATTTCTTCGCTACCTCTTCTCGTTCTCGAGATATTTGATTTTGTCCCTTTTTTACTAAAATAGAACACTGTGCGGCGGTTGGCCCTTGTCAGTAGTATATATATTACTTCTTACATTACAAATTTAGTTTATAACCAATAGCAATTATGGCTTGATTTTATGAACCAGTTACGTAGAACAACACAAGACGCTTGCCAGCCACCAAAGTCAATTAAAAGTGAAAGTCATTAAAATTTGAGTCAAGTGACTTTATCTTTCCTGTAATTAACAAGAAATCAAAACTGCTCTAAACCGCTGAAAGTAAAAGATATGAATTATGAATCACCAACAGCGCAAAGATGTACAAAAATACATCCACAAAGCGGTTTCAATATCTACTGGACAATCATTGCGCCAAGCCGATGCTGCTGATTATTCCAGTAGTATTGCCTGCGGAGTAAAGTAGAAATGTTGCCACCTAAATACTATAAAACAAACTGCAGCAGTAGACAGTAGCGAAGCAGCATCATCAAGTGAAACTGCCCTTACGCATTCATTTTTGTCAAACACATTGGCAGTCACGCGAATTATTGCCACTGAACTTTTGTAAGTAAAAGTTTAGGCCGATTCGAAATACACGTTGTTGTTTTTTAAATTCAGCTTAATATTGCCAAATATATGTATGTATGTACTAGTCATTCTGTAAACAAAAAAAAAAACAAATAATAATATAATATCCACCAGTGTAGAAGAGTAGATGACCACAAGTAAATGCACGCCAATATTGCCTACAGCAAAGCACCGAATACGTATTTAAAACTTTACTAATAAAACTAAAAGTGATTCCAATTATTACTTATTTTAATGCCAAAAACTTTTCAACTTTGAGACAATGGAAATTTTAACAACAGACAGAGTTTCGTTGTAACAAAAGTAAATACAAACTTCATACTAAATATACATATGTATGTGTATTCAGCCTAAGCTTGATTGGTTGCTCATCCTCATGTAGCATTTACATATTCGTAGAGTTGTATTAAACAGCTACAAAACTTTAAAAATTTTCCCTTTTTGCTGTGATGAACTGCCAGTAGTGAGAATAACTACTACTTAAAACATTGAGCTTAATAGCAGCAGCAGCAGCGTACTCAAGTGGCGGCAAACTTCGAACTGATAAGTGCCTATCTGTTTTGATATTAACAACAAAATTTAAGTCATAATAAAGTTTCATTATTTAAGAGCCCAATAAAAATATAAAACTATGAGGTCCAATTAATGATTTTGTTCCCGGGATGAATGTGTTAAAACAACAATTTTTTTCATGGCTTTAACACAGTGCAATATAGTGTATTAAATTACTAGATATTGATGTTGTCACTTTCTTTGGCAATTGATATAAAAAAGAAATGTTTTTTTTTTTCACCCTGAACTTCCAGCTTGGATGTTCACCTTCTCATTAACCCTCGAGTAGGCACGTAACAAATTTGTTAAATATATTCATGTACATTAGACTGCATCACTCCCCATACAAAAAAAAACGGTACTATTTTTCCATTGAAATTATAAAATCTATTATACTTTAAGACGTCCACCAAAATATTTCGGAAAAATATTAAGATTTGAGTGAGCTGGACCGATTTGAAAATACCTCCAAAAATGGAGTGTTTTATGAATAAAAATAGTTTCTTAAAAATTTTTTTTTGAAAAAATCCCCTCAAATAATCAATTTTGTAATCCCGGCGGAAAATCCGCAACTTTTTTTGGTGATGCAGTCTAATGTACATATATCGTAGCGCTATGGGGAATATGACAAATTTTTTGGTAAGAAATAATTAGGTAGAATCATATTGATACTTTTTTAAAAAGTTAAAAATCCCAAAACAGTCCTATTTTTATAATGGTTTCTAAATATCTATTTGGTTGTTTGTGTTTCCGACAGGGTAGGGGTATGATGTATTGTGGAACGATTTTCCGTCATCCCTGACACTGAAGATGGCACAACACCGAAACCGGTTTGCCTCCAAAACAAATTTGACAAGGGATGACGGAAAATCGTTCCACAATACATCGTTTCTAAATATCTCTAAGCTGGATTACATTTAAGTATGGAAAGCAACCATCTGGAAGTATTTTACCGAAAAAATTAACTAAGTTTAGCGTGAAAAGGTCCGACTTTTTAAGTTAAAAGAATATAAACATTTCAAAAATGATGACACTTTTTTAGACGAGACTGCGTTCTTATCGTGGAGGTTAACCCCCAAGCAACCTTTTTCTTAAGTTTACCGTTGTACTTATTGGACAATCTGTATATTTTTTCCAGTATGTTTACAACAAAATCCCATATATCGTACATTTAACACAGGAACGACCAGATCCTTTCACCTATCTAGAAAGCCCATTATGCCAAAACTGGCACGCTATATTTTAAATGTGATTGAGGCTGAAATGCCTGTTCGTTTTCAAAATTTGGTTCATTAGGATCAGAGCCTGAACCTTCAGAATAATCTTCCGCAGTATATATTGCTCAAAATATATAAAATTTGGATTGGAGTGGAAGTCGTCCTTTCACAGTTCACGAAGTAACACAATATTTTCACTGTTCTGTTCTAAAAGCGTGAGGAACAATTTAAAAAAAAATGTTTATTATATATGAATGGAAAATATTGCTTATGATTTGTTCGCTACTTCACTGATGTTCTCATCACGTGGTACCTGCAACAAACCACAAATTCACATATTATGTACTGTACTGTGTGTCAAAATAGGCACTGTGGGAGTTTAAGATACACGTGTGTTAAATGTTAAAGAAATTGTTAAAGGAAGCCAGCTTTTAAAAAGTATGAATCTTTTATGACTGCCAAAAATGGAACGAATGATGAAAAGTCACGAAATTTCTAAAACCCACTTGCCAAAATTTTGCATTTATTGTACATTCAACATTAAAATTGCGTCAAATTTGGCACACTAGGCATTCTAGTAACTAAGTAAACATTTTTTTAACAAGTTTCCCGCCATCGGTGATTTAGCTTATACATATATAAAATATTTATAAAAGAATTGTCAAAAATCTCAGGTTTTCGCAAATTTCGTTTTAATACTTTGATACGAAAAATAGTAATAAATTTAGTAGTGCGTATTTATTTATTTTTTTCCATCGTTTGAAATTTTGCATTGTTACAATGCAGCAGACTACAAGGTTCGAAAAAATCGTTGCAGCAAAATCGCATAAATGATTGGGTTGGCTTCAATCCGTAGAATAACGAAGCCAACTGGAATTCTGCATCAGAACCTCATAGCAGAAAAACTACTACTAATTGATTAAAAAACCCGGGGATGAAAATCTTCAATAGTTTTGGCCCTACATGTTTTAAGTGACTTTGGATTTGTAATACTGGAAATATTCCTTTTTACAGTAAGCATTAATGGATTTTTGAGTTTCAGTGGTCACCAGCATTTTCAAGTTCTTCGCACTAACATTTTTAGTCGGACTTATTTTCTTTAAAATACTAATCTCTCTCTTTTCATCTTCGCAAAACTATTTATTACTCGTATCACCATTAAGGGTGCCTTTGAATTTTGCGCGATTCTCTGCAGCAGGTGTTGGTACAATAAAAAATAGATTTTCAGTATTTAAACTCTTTAACAAAGGTACTTTTAGATATCATCCCTTAGGTGGATTCGATAATCGAAGAAGTAGTACTTAAATGCATCATCCGGAACAATTATTCAGATGTCTAATTCTCAGAATGAATAATTATTACTGAATATTAAGTTGTCCTAGGGAACCCCCTTCCCTTCCCTTTGTTTCATGTATACTGACCTATAACGGTGACTTCGCCACTACGACGCGCACTATGCCCCTGTTTGTTGCGTGCCCAGCATGTGTATACGCCCGAGTCGGTATTCTTCTGCACCGGATTGATGGTCAATGAGCCATCCGGTTGAACACGTTGTCGGATATCATCAGGCAATTCGCGACCGCTTCGCTCCCAGTGTATCTCCTCTATGGGATAGCCAGCAACAGGACACTTCAAGTTTAGGGTTTCACCAGACACGGCAGTGACTTTCGGTATTAAGCGTATGTAGGGAAGGCCTGAAATTAGAAAACAAAGAGAAATAAATGAGGGTAATACTTAATTTAGTGAAAATTACTCCATTGGGCAATTAAATATTTATGTATGCAAGAAAATTTAAAAATAAGTTTTAACCACAAAAATTATTTAATTTAAATTTTTCAATTCTTTTAGGACTTCTTGGGAATTTCCTGAACCTTTTTTTTTAGGGTAGTTTCGGGATTGTTTCTGTTTTTAGATCTTTTGTGGCTTTCCCAGACTTTTCGAGATGTTTCCAGAAGTTTTCGAGTTCTCCGTTTTTGCTTTTCAGCATTGTTCGCGTCTGAATTTTCATTGCTTTTGGAAGTTCTTTATGAATTTTAGAATTTGAAAACATTCTTTTTCAGGAATTTCGGTGATTTGAAGTCCTGAGTAGTTTCAAATCTTTACTTCATTATTTTAGCTTTTTTTGAATGTCTAAAAAACTTAAGGCGCATTTAGTTACNGAGTTCTCCGTTTTTGCTTTTCAGCATTGTTCGCGTCTGAATTTTCATTGATTTTGGAAGTTCTTTATGAATTTTAGAATTTGAAAACATTCTTTTTCAGGAATTTAGGTGATTTCAAGTCCTAAGTAGTTTCAAATCTTTACTTCATTATTTTAGCTTTTTTTGAATGCCTAAAAAACTTAACGCGCATTTAGTTATTTTTTACCGATAAAATCAATAAAGTAGTATGTATCTAAGCATTTTGCTTGCTCAAAGTCTAGGAATTACAAAATTGTTGCTCGATAGTATAAAATGCATGACTAGCACTGCCTTCCTTTTATTCATGGAAAAGCAATTAAAGCTATGTATATATGAACTTTTGTTACTATGTATATAAACTAGACTGGTACCAATTATCCATTTATTCACTCTTTTGCAGCGAGCTCTCCTTTAACCTAAAATTTAGGCTGTACTGTTTTTCAGGCTTTCGATGAGGACACAATCGGTTGGCTGTTCAATTGTGCGACATCGCCAATGGATAGCCAAGCGGCAACCATAGCTTTGGCGCTGCTCATTATGTACCCGGGATAATACCTGACCTATATTTCAGTTGCACTTGTATATATTCTAGTCAGACTTGTATGGGTTGAGTTGCGGATGAGTTGGCCAGGAACGGTACTCTCGAGTCTATTTGACCGAGAAAGGAGAGATTTGGTATAGCTTTGACTCTACGCCCACTTATCTTGGACAGATGTCATGTTCGCTGAACAAATGCCGGGTGAAAACAAGGAAAACTAGGCGAGTTTTCTCTGCGAAATTGGAATCCGTTAAGAAATCGTCTTTGGCTCCCAAAGCCCAAGCAAAGCCGAAGCTTTCAATGTAATAGCAGGACAGTAAACGATAAGTATTCCTGTGGTTATACTAAATATCACATTTGATTCTCACTGGCTCAGCTACTTAGAGGGTGAAAACTTCTCTTAAATACCTTGCCATATTTTGCGTGGCTAAAATAAATAAAATAAAATAAAAACTTTTTAATATACAACCGTTTTATAAATGGACTAAAAAGTAGAAAATAATATTTCTCAGTCCCACAGCATTTGTTTTGATAACTTTTGATTTTGAAATTTTAGCAAAAGTCATTATAAACAATTAATGACATTGAAAATGAAAAGCGTGGGGCGGGCATAGGCCTGATTTGAAATTGGAGAGTAATATATCGTTGCCTTAATATAGAAAGGCCCTATCTGACATCGTCGCTGATTTACAAAAAGTCGTAACTAACTAAAAATCGAAAATTTCCGTTTTAATTGATTATGATCCATTTGATCGAATTATGTGGCCTCACATCGTTTTATGCAATAAAAGATTTTAGTTAGTTACGGCTTTGTGCATTTCAGCGACGATGTGAGATAGGGCCTTTCTATATTAAGGCAACGATATGTATGTATGTGGGCATATGAATAACGATGGCTTAATTTGTACTTTCGCTGTAGAATGTTATGTAGTTTGACTATTGTCAATTTCGTTTCGTTTTTCGTTTTCAATCTCATAAATTGTTTATAATGACTTTTGCTAAAATTTCAAAATCGAAAGTTATCAAAACAAATCCTGTGGGACTGAGAAATATTATTTTCTACTTTTTAGTCCATTTATCGTTGTATATTAAAATTTTATTTTTATTTTTATTTTTTTTAATTGATATTCTCTGAACGTAGACAGCATGCATAGTGGGAGGTGCTACGGCTTCCTGTAAGGTCATTCCGTTCAGCTGTCTGTTTGTAATGGGTCCAAGGTTATGTTTCTCTGAACGTACTCCATCTATTGGAGGTGTCCCGCCCCTGGCAAACACTCACTCTCTTTCAGTTTACTATAAACGCCACGCCTTCTTGTACGAACCCATTTGTATACATTTACCATAGAACTTCTCACCAAATTTCAAGGCCATGTGAGTTAGGGGTCCGAAGATGTAGCAAATGTGAGATTTAAGGGCTGTGGAATGTGCCGTGGCCCCTTATATAAACTCACTAAAGTTTACATTGCTGTAAGCACCTACCTTAGTTATGTCCTCACACCAAATTTCAAAGTCATGTGACTTACGGTTTCGAAATTGTAGCTGATTAAAAATGTCACGCCTATGGGAGGTGCCACGCCCTCTTGTCAGACCTCAGTTTTTTTATATCCTAGGTTACGTCCGAGGTCTCTCTCTATATACCAGCTAAAGCCCCATGAAAATCCATTTAGTAGCTCCAGAGATTAGTGAGTTCAAACAGACAAACAAACTACAGTTTTATTATAGTAATATAGAAGATAGATAGTCGGAGGAGAAGCTCGGCCAAACATTAACATGTGTGTAAGCGCCAATCTATTATTATTATTAGAAGATAGATAGATAGATAGATAGATTGCATTGCGTACGAAAAATTTTAAACCATAACATGGAAAATGTTACTCATACGCCATGTACCAGTATGTTGCAATACAATAATGTACAATGTGGCGAGTGAGTAACGTTATTTCCTGGCCCTATTTTATACAAAACGATTACACATTTTCATTTAAAGATTCAAAACTTTAATTTAGCTTATTTAACCATCGATTATAATTGATTTTTTGGCGAGAGAACTGGCTTTAAACAAATTTGAAAAAAATTACAAAAGATTATTAATTTTTGAATATTTTTTTCATAAAAATGAAAATATCTTGGGTAAATGACTTGATTTGGAAAAACGATATACAAAGCCGTTATTTTTTCGAGTAATTTCAAAACTTCGGATTTTCCTTACAGTGTTATTTGAAACCGGTAGTTTCAAATAGACGCGTTTAGGCTGCCCGTTAATGGATTCATTTACTTAAAAAAAATTATAAGTGGACCTCCACAAAAAAATAATAATGTGTGGTTCTCTATGGTAGAACTGGTTCAGGTGATTTATTTGGTTATTTTATTGAATCAACTAATGATTTTATGCAATATGAAGAGCGCCTTACTGCTGAACATTAGCTAAAGTATGCTGTCCGGTTCAGTATTTTCTTGTATCTTTTACTGGAAATTAGACAATAAAGACTGCTATATAAATGTGTACATATATACATACTTACATACATACAAATGTATGTACATTCTAGTAAAAACTTCAACTCATTTTAATTTGCTGAATGCTTAGGCATACAATGAAATTCACACAAAATGCTACAAAAAAGTATGTATTTTTGGTCTGATAGTATTTATGCAAAATCTGAAATTTGATAAAAAAAAGAGGACATAAAACCATATACATACATATGTATGTACGTATAATTCAAATGAGTATGACGAGATGTCCGCCAGCATGGTGTACTATGCTCAAAAGCTTAGAGCATATTCGGAATGTAGAACTTCAAAATAGAACAGGAGGAGTATTTCGTTTTATCTATGTGGGTCAGTAAAACGTCAGCAAATTCTGCCGTTGCAGCTGCCATGTTCGTCATGATTCCGTTCTCACATTCCTCTTTTTGAGTTTTGTCACAAATGATGCCTTTTCCGCTGTAGTTTTGTTTATCGCTATTTGACATTTTGTTTTTTTTTTTTTGAAAACAAGAACAAACCATAAAAATGTTCAGTATGCAAAAAAGTTCAGTCAAGCGCAGCAGTTGCATTTACGAAAAGTGCACTTATTTCCAGTTTAAAATTTTTTATATTTATTATATTTATGGCAAACTTTATTGCATATGAAAGTTTTATATGTATTCGGAGAGTTTACATCAAAAAAAAGATGTCACTGATAAGCACGCATTCATGTAGGATGAAAAATAAGCTGTTGAGTGCCAACATTTTTATCAACGATGGAAAAGCAAATTTTTTTTCCAAAAATTTCACTTGTGGAAAAAATATATATTTAATTAATACAGAACAAAGTATATGTACAAATGTACTTATGTAGGTACACAAAAAATTTTAAATTTTGTAATATGATTCCTCCATTTATAGATTTACATATATTTGTATGTGTGTAAGCCGAATTCAAAAATTCTGATTGTGACTTGGATAAGAGTATTAAAGCCGCTTTAAGCTCATATCTGCAGCGATCCTAAAAATTGGCGCAACTCTATAGACACTAGGGATGTTAAGTTTTCGGCTTTTCCGATCCCGGGATTTCCGTGATGGCGTTGTCACAATCCCGGAATTCCGGGATTTTGATGTGCCTTACTTTTCAACAACTTGAATCGAAAAAATTCTTCTATATTGTTTGAGAAGCTCTCCTAGCATGAAATAAATAATAAATAAATGGGTTTAAAACTTACTGTTTTATTTAAAGTGGCGTTTTTTATTTTTTTGCTCTGGCCACACGATTTATTTTGAAGGGATTTGTTATTTCAGAGATATGTATAATTACAAAAATTGTTAAAAAAAATTCAATGCCATGAAGAATAAAAATATGGGTATTAAATACAGTAGGAAATTCCTTTAGAATTTAAAAAATTTAAATTTTTTAGATTCACAAGGACGAATAGATAATTTTTTGGCTGATAAAGTTAGAAGAACGAAATTCGAAGATGTTATCGAGTTTATATGAGAC